ATATATATATATATATATATATATATATATATGTACATATATATATGTACATATATGTATATATTTATGTATATTTGAATGCATTTATGTATAAACGGGTTTGTGTTTTTATGAACTAGTATGCTAGCATGGTCGAGAGCTATGCAAAAGTGTTCATTAAAATTAATTAAAAATACGTCAAGTTAAGAAAGTGTGAAATTTTTCACTCGTCCTCAAACTAACATGATATATACTGGGTAACATTTTAAATCCACGCACACACACACACACACACACACAAAAACGCAAACGCATTTATACTGACAGCCTTACATACTTTATAAACTGAATTAATGTACAAGTGCTAAACCTTTTGCGAGGGTAAAGATCACTACACTATAAAATTATGCCTGAAGATTATGCTTTAGCCGTAACATTAACTTTAACGCAGACACTTGCCCTTATACAGCTATGTGTTATATAAACTACCAAGCAAAAATAATATCCTCTTATTACTTCAATGACGGTGAATGGGAAATTTTCATAAAATTATTCATTCATGCATTCATTTATTCAGAAAAGTCGAAGAGGGTCGTTTTAACTACGGTGCCACCAACCTTGCATACATATATATATACACAAGCTGCCAACCACCACCACCGTGTATGCGTAAATTACGTTGATTGAAGGTTGGATGTACTCGATTTCTTTACGTAATTCATTCTCAATCTTTGTCAATTTTTAGCCTCCCTTTCTCCGTTTCGGCCTGAGGTTTTTAATAAATTTGCATTTTCAATAAATGTTCAAGTGTCGACTATTGTAAGTTATAAAGTGTGGATATTTTTCCTTCTTTTTTTTCCTTTTTTTTTTTTTTTTTTTTTTTTTAATCGTCCATAAAACGTCACTCAACTTCAACAGTCATATACAGAGAGAGGGTAGTAAATATCAAATGCAAATGAAAAACAGACATGCGGCATATGTACGTAATGACATACACCGTCAATGGAAGTTACGAGAACAAAAGAAATACATTGGACAGAGAAAAAAAAAAAAGAAGAAAGTAATTTCAGTGTGTGTGTGTGCGTGCGTGTGTGTGTGTGTTACGTACGGAGAAAGCACATATATTTCTCGACAGTTTACTAGTTTATCAAGTATGCAATATGCTGATGTGTAAAGCATACGCACACATATATTTCATATATACTGGAATAAAAAAAAAAAATAAAAAAACAATATTCAGTTAAAGTGTCCGACCTCCGGCAGATGGTTTTAATACCAAGTGCAAAAAATTTATTCACGAATTATTATTGTCTAAAAGAAACATTTGTAAAGAAAATGTTTCAATTATCATAAAACAGACCGATTATACACATAATTCATAAAAACCGAACAGATGTATGTAATATTTTCCAATAGATAGTGGATTCCGTATATATCTATCCCGCTACATGACGTTTTCAATAAACGTATCTTAAATATTCGATATATTCTTTTTTATTATTATTCTTATTTTTTTTTTTGTATTTCTTATGAACAACACACACAATGTAACGTCAATATTTACCGTAAAGTTACTTGCTGCAGTATTTTTGAATGCCAGTTTTGTCACTTATTATATAGTTCATAGTACATAGTACTATAGTTTAACATTTAAGTCATACTTTATGGCACAGTTCGATCTGTAGGTAAGGCGTTACATGACAGGGGAACTATAGCTCACGCTTTAATTTAACTATCTACTCATACGTATGTGTATATAATATATATCTCTACATATGTCATATCTATATATAACACATCATTCAATGATTTTTTAGGATGACATAAACAACTTGAGATTTTTCCATCGCTTTAGTAAGCAAAAGTAGCGTCACTAAGAAAACTACTACAACTAGTACACTTTTGGTCAAAATTTCATGGAATTTTGAGAGAATTTATTTGAATATTTGTAAAATCACACACGATCGTGAATAGTTGTATCCTACGAACTTATTGAGTGGCATGTTATATATGTATATATATTTGTATATATATACGTACATATGTATGTGTATGTAAGTATGTATATGAATTACATATATACACATATATAATTATTATTATTATTATAAAGTCTTAAACCATTTGCATCTAAGGCCATCGGCTTTATTGAAAACTCTACCGCACTTGAAGATAAATTATTTTATTTTGATTCCAATATTTTTCTGTTTACTTTTTTCTCAGAAATTTTTATCTTCTAACCTTAAGGAATATGTTAAAGGAAATGAAAAATTTTGTTTCACACAGAAGAACCTGTGGGGAGTTTACGGTTTTCTTTCTTGAACTTTTATATGCTACGAAAGACATAAAGGGTATTATCGGGCATTTTGCATTGATAATATTCAATTACTTTTGCATCAAGTTCGGCTTCTCGTTTGCTATTTGTGCTATATGTGATATCAATCAACACCATGAGGAAGAAGGTAAACCAAATATTATATATGGATAAAAAAAAATTGGATATTGTCGTATAAAGCAAAGTTTAGTTACTATTTTCTTCTTTTTTTTTTTTTTTTTATTACATAATATATGATTATTATTTATTTAAATTGTCTAATTCTTAATACCTAATTTGATTTTTATACTTTCTATATATATGGTGTGTATATCTCTTTGTTTTCTTCCCTTATTCATGTCATTTTTTTCTTTTATTCTCTACTTTCAACGACGACTTGCTTGTTGTCACCGGAGGTTTGTAGAGCTCGTTTGGTTTTTTGTCTCTGCAGATACTGCAGATTACATGTCCAAAGCACTTACTTAATTACTAGTAATCCCATATTTCATCTTTTTCTTGTTCACACAAAAAGTTGTTTATTCATTCCATCATCATTTATAACTTTTCATATAAATTTCATTGTACCGATATGGAGAATTATTATTTTTCTAACATTTTCGAATTTCTGAAATTCTTTCCATGTCCATTAGCTTTTTCAAACATATGGTTTCATGACCGTATTTTACTTTATTTTCATTTTGAACACGAAATTCGAGCGTTCCTTTGCTTTCGAGCTCGAAGATGACATATTGCTTTCGATAGCGGGCAAACAGTCATGAGCTATTGAGCACTATCAACTCAACGAGCGGTCGTTAACTAGCCGATTCGATATCGAATTCGAATATCCTCGATAACAAGAAACGTAAATCGGTTCGCGTTTTTATGCGGTCTGTAGCGATCGCAGAAAGAAAATATTTAAAAACTTCATAAATAACTACAACAACAATAATTTTTCGCAACATATTAAAGAAAATTTACTTTATGCCGTGCATAGCGATTGAAGAATTTATATGAAAGATGTACGAAATAATGAGAAAAAATTGGACAAAAAAAATTTTCGCACAAAATAAATTGCAATACCCAAAAAAAAAAAAAAAAAAAAAAAAAACTCGCACGAAGAATTATATGGAAAGACATCGCAGGAAAACAGATTCAAATCTATATCGAATCAGAGTTTTCAATGCAGCTCGACGATGCCATAGCTTGCCCAAGTTGTATTCAACAGAGAAATCGGTTTTGCTTTGCATTTTAATTCTCGGAATTTTTCATCACTTTTATTTACCCGTTTTCTTTAAAGAGAATTTACTTCAGTTTGATTGTGTTGTTGTTTTTTTCTTGTGCTTTTTTAGAAGATTAAACCAAAAAAAAAGTAAAATAAAAGGAAAACGTTCTGCTTTACATTGTTTGCATACACATTTTCAGTTTTATAAAAACGTGTGAATTTTTGTTCGCCTATATGTGTCTATGTAAATGTACTTCGACTATGTCATCTGGCGTGCAAAAAAAAAAAAAAAAAATCATAAAGACCTACTATATGGAGCAGCTGCATACCAACACTTTGCGAGCTTCGTCACCTAGATTTGAAAGAACTCTTCACAATGTGTATTTGTAGAGGCCACGCGCGCGTGTTCATGATTTATTCGCTTATCAGGAGTTACAAGAATATTCACTCTTACACTATGTAAAACAACACAAGCCGTACTTATTTGTTGTTGTTGTTGATGATTTTAATAGAGTTTCTCTCTCCTGTTTTCGTTGTATCAGCTAAAACTAACAATCTTTCGTTTGGAATACATTACAAACTCATACACAATCGTATGTACGTATGTACGCATTTTCATATAGTGATTGTCTTAACGCGAAAGGGTTTCTTTTTTTCTTTTTTTTTTAATTTTTTTTTTTTTTTTTTTGCTACTTTATACGACTTACATCAACATTTATTCCAGACACGGGAAACACTAGAGTTGGCGGTGACTCTTTCGGCACATAGCGATAAAATTCCTCTGTTCCAAAATACCAACGTACAGAATATAAAGCTGCCTGATAAGAAAAAAGAAAAATACGATTTTTGTTTTTTTTTTGTGTTTTTTTTTTTTTTTCTTTTTGCTTTGTGAAGAAAGGGAGTAAGTGAAAACATTAGTTTTCAAAAGAATTTCATTTGCAATTAATTTAATTAAGTATTTTTGAGATGAAGCTAACATTCTTCTACCGTATCTTCCTCTGCTATACGTTTTTAACCTTATGTCTGAAACTGGGCTGTTAAAGAACTTTCTTCAGTTGTGTTGTTTTTTTTCGCTTTCATTCTCCCTTTCTCGCTTATTAAGAGATATGAAAAGGAAATAATTTCTTCATGTGTTCGTTTTTTTTTTTTTGCTTTACTAAGTCATTTAGACAATAACAGTTTAACAACCTACCTGTTCGAGGTCATACTGACAGGATAACGTTGCTGCATTACCCATAATGACAGCTTCTGGCACAAATATTTTCAGATCCTTAAGGCAATCAGCTGCAAAAAAAAAAAGAAGAAAAAGAAAAAAGTAGAACGAAGCGTCAAACTATCATTCATGATAAAGCTAAAAAACTGACAGAGTAACAGAAATTAAATTAAAAATGAATTTTATATTAATATTACATTTTCTGAACAAATGAAACACATGCGAATGATGTATAAATCTGGCCGGACTACATAAGTAAGCTTAACATAGAAAACGAATATTGAAAAAAATTTAATTTTATTTCTAATTTATTTGCTATCATAAGCGAATAGATCGAAAATTAAATACTTTATGATTTTTTGGCAATGATGACCACTTTCGCTGAAAAACATAGTCCACGAGTTCAAAAACACAGCAAGTCCAGCAAATTTCTCTTCTACTTTCAATGTTAGGCGTGATTCTATTTATTCTGAAATCAATTCATTGTTTTTGTTTAGTAGCATTCTAGGCTTTTAATTTAAATCGTCTTTTTACAGCGTACGGAACCTGATAATTTCATCTTGCAAACCAATGTAGGCCTATGAAACATGGGAAGTCTTAGCTTCACCATTGAATTTTAGCTTAGAAGCATTATTCTTTTAAGACCGAACATTAAATGTACGCCACTTTAATAAGACTTTTGCTAGTTAGCGTAGGTGGGTAGCAGTAAGAATAACTGCTGGAGACTGGATTGCATTGCAATCTCGTTCTCCAGCCAGAGAACGATAGGTATTTAAAATGGCATTCGCTCTCATTGCAGAGGCGCTTGGAAGGAATTGGTTGGATAGTGACTTCCGGATCAATGAGTAACTCTCCCTCACTCGATGTGTCGTCCAGCACACGTGTCTTCACGACAGAGACCAACGTTGAGCTCTCCCTCGATAAGGATATTTGCTTGCCCTCAACTTAATAGCATCTAAACTGAATTTAATATCGATGCACTTTTTTGTTTATGTTATAAACAAGTCAGTTCATGTGTTTATGTGAAAAATATCAATGTGTTCTTAACATGGGTGTCGATAGTATGCCATGTTCGCTGCTTCGGTGAATACTTTGCTCCTCTTGCGCGTCTTTCGCAATGCTTCAAATAGGGGAGATTTTCTGAAAGTTTTCGTATGCCTCCTCGAATCGGTTAAAAGCTTGAATAGATCGAAATTAGTAATGAATGCTTAAAGTAGACGCCATCCGCAATGATGTGCCATCAACTAATTCCAGTCTGCTTGCGTCATTTTCTCCACGCATGACGTATATATCTTTTTACTTCCATTTTATGTCGGCATAAAATTGAGCTTTGAACGGACGCGGGTAAAAAAGCATATCACTAAGGAATTTTGCTTTAAAATAGAAATTATTTTGTTAAATAATTCCTTTAAATTACTTTGAAACTTAGTAGCTCTTGATCTTTAAATGTAAAAAGCAGGCAAAAATATGCTATATATATATATATATATATTACCACCTAAAAGTAGGCAAATTTCGCTTGAACGCATTTCAAGTTTAATTATTTATAAATCATTCGCGATTTCATAAGAAGACGAGAGTTGTAACTTATTACAGAGCCACCCCAAGCTTTTCATGTAAATAAATTATTAATTAATTGTTCAATATGATTTGTTTATTGTCTTTCAATTGTGTATGTATACAAAAAATTTATTGTAAAATTAAAAGCTATTTACTTATTAAATAGAAATTATTTACGTAAGATAATAATGATAAGTAGTCAAACATAGGTCAATCAAATATTTGTTCAAATATTATTAAAATGATTTTATTCCGTCGAATTTTCTCTACTTGCCCTGAACTTATGTTAAAATTTAAGATATACATCCTCCTCTTCTTTTATTTGCTTTATTTAATTTTCATCCAGTTGTACTTGTAATTAATTGTACGCATGTGTTAGTTTACAATTTTTGCTCATATTTATTTTACTGCAATTTGGTTCTCCTTTCTTTCTTGTTTTTTTTTTTTTTTTTTTTTTTTTGCGTACTTTTAATTCATCTCGGTAAATACCAATTTTTACCGGCACTCAAGCATATATACCTTCGCAAAATATTATTAATAATTATAATAACATCAAAAAAAAAAAAAAAAAATAATAAATAAATAAATAAATATAAAAGGAAGGAATTGAATTATCCCTCTTTCCCTTAACATTTTATATATGTAAACTGATGACCTGATCGCTTCGTCTTGCCGGCGGCCGATGCTATATTAAAGGGAAATAATTAAAATAATCAGCATAAAATTTTTATATTTAACACCCGAGCACCTCGCTCGAACATGCATTTACTTTAATATGCATAATAATATGTCATTTTTTGCGTATATCTGGCGGCTATCGTTGTTATTGGTCTTGTTTTTACTGAAGATGACAACGGTGACTATGATGATGATGATGATGATGATAATGATGATGATAATGGTGATGATGATGATCATGATGATGATGATAACGGTGTTGCAAATGCTCTCTACCGTGTAACGAGTCTGTGTGTAATAATTGAATTTTCAATTAAACAATGTTCATCAGAAAGAATTGTAGTAGTAATATAAATGTTATTAAGCCCCTGCGCTCAGATGTAGATGTAGGCCATATCCAGGCAAACAAACAATCAACCAAGCAAGCAACTAACTAACCAACCAGCCAACCAGCCGGACCGTCCAGCAAGTCAACCAAACTGACTCGCTGCCTATTCGCCTGGTTGTCTTGATTTTATTTCGCCCTCTTTGTTGGCAGTTAATTCAGTGAGTTGCAAGTATTTATGCCATGCATGCATACCATGCATGGTGATGGCAATGCTGGCGGTTTGAGGTGTTCGTTCAATTGTCATAAATTAACATTTCATTTTTAATACTTTATTTTTGATGTCACGCTTTCCCCAGTCAGTAATTAAGACTTTTTTTTCGCCTTTTCTCTCTCTCCCTCTCTCTCTCTCTCACTCAACCATTTACTTTTAATTTTTTCCATTCCATTGTAATATGCATGAAATAAAATGACATGATATCGATTCGCAAGACCACGCGATGCGTACGCATTTAAATTCCTATATCCTTTCGTTTTTTTTGCACTTGCAGGTCCTAGCGATTTCGTTGAAGCGTAAAATATCTATTAAATATAAGCATATGCAAGCGTAAGGTATAAGAAGACAACAAAAAAAAAAAAAAAAAAAAAATCGTTTAATTTCCCATTAAAATGCTTTGTTTTTATCATTGTTCTCTCTCTCTCTGTATATGTACAAGAAACTTAAATAGTTTACGAAGGAACAAAAAATTGCATTTAATTTATAATTATCAGCAATTTGGTTTTCATCTTCCTTTTCGCTGTCTGAATGGTTTTATCAAGCAATTTACTATAATTTTATGCCTATAATTTTTTTTTTTATTTTAATTGTCAAATGGATGCTTATAAACACGCATTACTGGTTTGAATAAGTGTTACATGTATGGCAATCTTATTGTTGATCATATGTCATGCTTATATTCGCATATTCACGTACATTCGCATAAATGTACGATGGGCTTCCTTTCCTGTCAATTGAATATAATGATGTGTCAACTGCAGGCAAATAGCTATTACTAGCAAATGGGCGCATCATACGCATTAAATCTTTCACTACTAATGATTTCATGGGAATGTATGCAATTGTCCTTACTCTCGATAAAACACAGACAGATTTGTTTACTTGTTTTCATATGTCACAAATTATCAGCTGTAAATGTCATTTAGCCATAACCGTCATTGCATCTGAGTTTGTCATAATTGTTAAAAATATTTTATTTATTTCCTCTTAAATTTTATTCACATATTTTTATTTATTTATCTTTTCATTTTTTTTTTTTTTTTTTTTTTTTTTAATGAAATTTGTTAATATACTCATTTTCATATTCATAGTTCAATACAATCTATAGTCACATATGCCTTTATTGACATAATTGGTGGCTTAAGTGGCTTTTATATTTAATCCACTTTTTACGCTCATAATACTTTTTGATATATTTAAATATTTTCCACAGACCAAAGTATTATTTATTTATTTATTCATTTTTTTTTTTAAGTGATTAGTCATAAAATGAGCAAAAATTTGAAAAAGTTGTAAAATCAAACCAAGTTGGAGAGTTATAGACCACATCAATTATGCTTACGGTCATTCTCTTTCTCAACTTCTTACCCTTTTGCAGGGCTCCTTGCTTTGTTTATAGGCGACATCCCCTATTGATTGATCATATCGAAAAAAAAAAGTGAGCAGAAAAAGTTAACCACAGGCATTACATAGACTAGTACGCGTACGGACAGCCGTACTTAAATCGATTGAGAATCTGAAATGTTGTTCAAGAATACATCTTCGTTATGAAGTCTTTAAAGCTTTCTGCTGAGTGTCGCAAGTGTGTTGATAAAATCAATATCCGCGCAATCTGCGATGATGGGTATAAAAAGTCCTCCTCTTAAAATATAAAACTTGGATTATATGAACGATAATAAAAGCTTCATTCATATTGTCGGGAGAGAGCCCCTTAACCACGGACCTTAAATCTTTTGCTCGTACAAACTTAAATTTCCATATGTGTATAATTTTTTATGCAATTTGTATATGTACAAGGTAGCCTGGAAACAGAGAACCTGATTCATATCATTTAAGGAAATCCTCTTCTTAAAGAGCTAAAGAGATACATATGTGTACCTTGCATTCGAACGACAAAATATGAGGCGTATGTATACATATACAGTAAAGCAAATAACTTTTTTGTTTTCCTATATATATATAGATGGCTAACTTTTATCGTTGCTGTTTGCATATATGCTTTGACAAAGGAAGGAATGATGTTTGTGTAACAAAACCTAATCAGAGATAGTTAATTTTTTAAGCTTTTTATGAATTTGCTGCAGTAATGGAAAGCAATGTATGCTAGTATTTTAATAACGAATGATGTATATGTGTGCATTGTGTTCAGTTAACTAAGGCTAATATGTTTCAAAGGTATTTGCTTAGTGGGTAAGAGAACCTGAAGAGAAAAAGGGAAATAAGGACGTGCATTAATTTTGTAATACGGTTTGTGTCATCCCTTCCTGCCGCTCATCCGTGCTTACGTATATATCTCCGTATCTATAGTATTTTCTCTAGACGAAAGTTTGGATTTTTAAAATTTTGAACAAAAAAAAGTAAACAGAGTAAATTCGACAGTAATTTGAATATGTTGCTTGACAAGCAAATCGTGCGATCAAAAGATTTTTCATTCAATAATAAGAAAAGTGTATATGGATGTAAATTCACTATTCGTTACAGCGAGTCGATAATCGATGGCTATCGCATTTACTCAAAATCGATTAGTTATAAATAATCCTCAGTAATTGTTTGGATTCCTCCATGTGAATTTGATTCGCACATAAATCTCAATAAAATTCGGAGTTGATTTAGTTACTTCTTCTCACAGTTTCTCTTCAACTAAATACGAAAGTAAAACAAAGATATCCGTTATGTAAACTCTTCCTTAGAATACCTTACGCGAGGCTAAATGACATAAACAATACATCAAATTCAACTTGGCTCTCTCTTAGTTGATTGCTATAGAAAACTTAAATACGTTAAATGCGCTTTTGAATAAATTCTATCGCATACAGTGCGCCCATCCAAAGGTACATCATAACTTGTAATAACATTAAAGCTTATTTCAAAAAAGTAGTTTACCTGGAGAAAGTGAAATACCCATTATTCGGTCGATTCGACCGCAATTATTAGAACGAATCGTAAATGACTTCCGTTGTTGGGTAGATAAAACCTGTTGTTCGTATTTATCCACCATATGTCATCGAAACAAACGACTTTCCGTTTTCACTACATAGATGAGGATTCATTTAGTCAGCCTTCTGTTAACTGTTTTATGTGGTACATGTTACATTCAACGGTTTTTCCTAACCTTTGAAATGTCAAAAAGTTCATATTCGACATGTAATGTTTTGGTAACTTAAACAAAGCAATAGCGCTGCGGTGACAGGTGAAGAAATGTGCAGCTTATACGGTAAAGGACTTGTAACTGATCGGATAGTTAGAAATTGGAGACACGATTTGAAAAAAATAACCGTGACTCTTCCCACTGTGATGACAACCTTTTCAAGGGAATATTGGAGCAAAATCCACGTCAATCAACAAAAGCTATAGCAAAAAAGTTGAATGCCTTACAATCAACTGTTAATCGCCACCTGGAGAAATTAGGTAAAATCATCGAGTATGCATACCTCACAATCTCACTGAACGGAATGAAGAAAATCGCATATCAATCACTACAAGTCGGCTCTCGCGGTTAAAGATCGAGGCTTTTTTAAATAGGATTATAGCTGGCGATGAAAAATGGGTTACCTATGATGGTACATCCGCAAAAGGTAATGGCTTGATAAATATGAACTATCCTTACCAGTCCGAAAACAAGCATCGGTAGTAAAAAGATTTTAATGTGTGTATGGTGGGATTGTCGAGCTCATGAAATCAAATTTAAGGATTACTTCGGATAGATACGTCCAGCAGTTGTAAAGAGTGCAAAACTAACTCCACGAAAAGCATCCTGCACTCGTCAATTGCAAAAACATCATTCTTTTACTCGACAATGCGCGACCACCATTCAGCGAGGATGACTCAACACGCAATTCTTGAGCTTGGATGGTCTGTTTTACCATACCTATCTTACACCCCGGACTTAGCCCCCACACATTATCACTTTTCTGCACTTTACAGAGCTTTTTGAGTGAAACTTTTTCAATTCCGAAAAGTCAGTCACACTGTCGAGAACTTATTCCAGCCCAAAGCAACCACATTTTAAAAGAAAGAAATTGATAAACTGCCAAGAAGATGGGAGAAGGTCATGCACTATAGTGATGAATACGTAATAAATTGTAATAATTTTCTTATTCAATGGAAGCATAATAAATGTCTGATAAAAAAAACGGAAAGTCCTTATGACTCAACCTAATATATTGTTTGCCCAAGTCGGGATTATCGTTAACAATCAATAGAAAATTATTTGCATAATCTAAAAATATCTCTTCTAAGTTAGTCTTGTAATTGTTACATTTAGTGGGATCAATGGCAGGACTAGAGGACTGGGGATTTTCTATGCTTATCTTTCAGTAACTTATTAAAAAAAAAGAGAGCTTTACAATTTTTCATCAAAGTTTACGCACGCAACAAAATTAAATATACAACGCGGCGAAAAGTAGGCAATAATATATAAAAAAATATATTAAAATAAAAATCAATTGATAAGAGATAAACGTAGTTAAACTTACCGCTTAAACTGATTTCCATGATAATGAACCATACACCTGCCAAATAATTGAACCACTGATAGAATTTTCGACGATCAATCATTTTGTTGGTTTGTTGTGGGTAGGAGAACCGTACAGCTTAAAGATGTAATCTGAAAAGATTAAAAAATATAAAACAATCACATGAGATTTATTTTATTATTGAGTTAAAAATAAAAACGCCTCAGAAGATTGGCAAATGTTTGTTTTGTTAAATTTTAATTAAAATATTTTTGTGGAAAATTTTGCTACTATTAAATGCTTGAAAAAAAAAAAAAAAATTTTTTTTTCATAAATCAAAAAAATAAAAGACATAACAATGAAGTTGTGGATGATGGTTGTTTTCTTAACCTAAAAATAATTGTCACTCTCAACCGAACCACATTCTGGACGATATATTATCAATATTTGTAATTGCAGTTCTATAACCATTCTTCTCTTTATTCGTACATGCACACACTGCGCAGGAAATGTTTAAATATTTCCTTTTGTTTTACTGTTTAATTTTCAACTTTTCATAGACATTTAACCTAAATTTGTATTTGCCTGTCAACACTATATAAGGAAGGCTTGTGGTAACAGATGTGAATTTATTTTCTATTGTTCTTCATAGACCATTATACGCGGCTGGATGTAGAAAGCGCGATGTTAAAGCGCGAGAGATTTATATTAAATAAGTAAATCTGTGAAAAATACAGTTTGAATATTTGCGAATGTTTTCGTAGTGATTTTTAAAGCGAAATGAAATATAATTTCTTGCACTAGACTTTCTTTCTTCTTAATGTTACGCTCAATTTTTCAATTAGTTAAATTAAATCTTTTTATCCTTTAAGGGGAAACGAAAAAGTTATGGTTATTTTTTTCATTCACCAATTGCTGCTGCTTACAAAGTAAAACGTTATTTATTATTTTGCCTTTTTTACAGTTAAAAAAACAAAATAAAAAAAAAATAAAAAAGAAAGTATTTTTCACACATGAGTGCACTGCTGAGCGTATGAGTACCAACAACAAAATTGCACACAACCAGGCGTATACGCAAAAACAAAAAAAAATTCCAATTAAATTGTAACGCTGTCCACTGATTTATTAACAGACGTAATTTATTGCATAAAAAAAAAAAAACGCAAAAATAAAAAAAAATCGTAAGACTGGAAAGAGCAGCAACGCAATCTCGCGCAACAAACTTAAAAGCTATAACCTTTAGATTTAACAATTAATTAATGAAATTTTATTTTAAGCTGTGATAAAATTTAAAAAGGAATTTTAATTTACTTCCATTTCGTTGTCACATTGTCAATCATAGACAATGAAGTCAATAGCTTTTATATATAAGGATAGTAGACATTCTTGCTGTAGTGTCGTCATTGGTTCGTTTGTAAACAATATTTCATCCATACACGGGAACATGAAATCGATCTAGTCTCCTTTTCTTTCTCTTTCTCTCTTTCTCTCTTTCCCTCTCTCTCTCTCTCTCTCTCTCTTTCTCTGTCTCTATGTGCAATATAAACATTTCAGTCATATGTGCTGTACATGTTTTATTTCATAATTCGTTATAATACACATATACACAATTAACATGTGTAGCAGATATCTATGCTTTACTGGTATAGAGATGCAAGTCATTTATATGAAATGCGAGTACACGTATTTTTATATGTTTATTTCCACAGCCATGGACAACAAAATGGCACATACTTCAAACTGTAAAAAAAGTAATAAGAAAGATTTAAAAAAAGATTCATAAAAAAATACTGAAAATTTATGAAATTGTACAACACTCGTGATATAAATGTGTATTAATGCATGCAAAACCCAGGCCCACTGCAGATAAACCCACCGTTTATCTTAACGATCGATTCAGAATCACTTCCCAAACGCTATTGAACGCGATTGTGATCGGACCACCTTTCCGACCACATCGTATATAACAATTTATTTTGAAAAGGCATTATATGATATATAGAATGGCATGTAGTGGTTGTGTCCCACTATAGTGGGTTCATTTGTATTTATTTTAAAATGCAAACAAGTAAGAATGTTATACTCCGTGAGAGATGAATCTCGGATACCCACTGCTATGCGTTTCGCTTTCTGCTCTCCAAATTTGAAATCGATATCTTAATCTTTGCAAGACTGCCAACAATGACGACCGCACAGACGGAAAGAATTGGCTTAATCAATTTAGAATTTCACGCTGATCAAGGACATATATACTTTATAGGGTCTCTCTGAAACTTCCTTTTGGATGGATTTATATAAACTATGAAAAAAACAAAAAATCTTTCAGTGATGGGTTTAACAAGGGAAAAAATTGATATGAGGAATGAAAAAAATAGGACAACAAAAGCGACAGTCTAACGGCAAAATATCTGATGAAATATTTTGCGCATAGAATCTCTAAACAATGTTGCCCCGAGTAAAAATTAAATTCTTTTAGAGTGTGATTAAAAGATGTTTATTAGATTTTTGTTTTTAAAAATATGCTCTATTTATATATATATATATATATATATGTTTCCATGCCTGTACATGTTGACTTGTTTCCTTTTTAATTATCTGCATGTTTGATGTTTTCTTAATTGGGTAACTATATCACTTCAAGCGTTTGCTCATTTATCGGCTATTGTTAAAAAATATACTGCAAATCTGTCTGAATATGACATCCTGTCTGTGTAGTTGGCTATCGGCCACTACAACAAATGGATTAGTGCATTCTTTTCGTCATTCCGTTTATAACATTTCAAGGTAAGCTACATAAATTTTTGCATTTAATGAATATTACAAGTATTATACAGTTATTATTAGTGTTAAATTAAGGGCATACTTTTATTATAACCCATTGTTGATTGACGCTGATATATTGTAGTACTTTTCTAAAGCAAAATATCCAAGATATGCGACAGTGGATGCAGTACAAAATTTTTCGTCGAGTTGCTTAGCTTTGAAGAATTGTACGAAATCAATAAATTATCATATTATTCTTAGGTTTCCGCATTCGTTTAGTTCTAAGCGCTCTGTTTTCTTCTTTCAAGAGGAGGTGAACGTCACTTTAAAGTTCAATTATTCGAATGTAAGGTTAAAGGCATTATAAGGTTAGTAAGCAAACATTATCGGGCTATAATCCTTGGTTAGATGGCAGACTTTGTTAATGTCAGTGCATTACCTCAAGCAGTGATATTTGCCAGCAAGTCTGATTTTTCCTCTTCTTTCTTTTCTCTTTTACTGCTCTACCTATTCTCACCCCCCACCCCTCTACGGAGAAGCTTTACTAACCACCAATGGGTCTATACGTATAGCGGACATCGTAGAATCTTTACTAAACATCAATGTGACCACATCTATAGCGAATATCGTTTAAGTGATTGTTCGTAAAAGAAAACAAAAGAAAAGCGGAAAGGGTATAAAAGAATGCCGCACATCTATCAAAAAGTTTAAATGGTCCTGTATATCGATTCGTTTGACTTCTTATATTAATATAATACACAATTCTTTGTTAATATTTTTTTATTTTTTTTTTTCTTAAAAACTGCCAACCATCTGTTGACCTGTCTGATGTAATAGTTTTTTAATGCATGCTTTATACCTGATTGACATCCGGAAAATCACCAATCACCCGCATTTATTATTCTGATTTATTTTAATTATCATTTTCATCAATTATATTAAAATCAGTTTTTGCATTAGATTTATTTTCAATTTTTGTTTTATATTCACATCATTATTTCTGATATATAAAGCTATCTATCGTTCTAACATGAAGTTATTTAACGGAATATTTTATCAGCATAATATAATTGAAGTTTGCTTCTATTACACATTTACTTTTACTGTTTAAATGTCACGACATAACATGTTAGTTTATTTAAATAATTTTGAGAGTAAATTAAACAACAAAAATTAAAATGTAAATCGTAGATAAAATACAAGAGAAATTGTTCAAAAAACATTTTATTCATTATATTCGATGATATCATGTCTGCGAAAATGAAAAATATTGTGCAGTTTATTGTCGATATGAAATTGGGAGTAAAAATTCAGAGCCATATCAGCAGTGCTTCCCTCCTTCGAAAAACGGTAGTGGAATTTTAGTTTCGGAGAAGTATCATAGAGTATTTGGCAAATCATGGACTGATCGAGCAAAAAATCGTCCGGGAAAGCAAATGAGGGAAAATGTTTGTGAAAGGGCATTTTTATCGCGTTGCGTCTGCAAACTAATGGAGAAAAATATTAATAAATTTTTTTGCGGTAAAAAGTCAAATCTGGAGTTTATATGAAAGAAAATGAGCTTAGGGATATTCGGATCCGACTTCGCGACTCCTAGAACCATCATGGGCTAAAGAAGATCATTAGGTAAGGCAGGGTAGAGATTAGCCTGGGGCTGAAAATGTGTTCGTACGTTAGGCTGGGTTTCATCCGTCCGTCTGTTCGTGTCAGGGCGCTATTCTTTTCTAAGGAATTCTCTGAGGAGTGTCAGTGAGACAAAATTTAGAATTTCACCACATCTTCCGAACTAGGTAGCTCAGCTAAAGCACGTACGACAGTCTCAACAGCGTTTGACCTTCCTTAAGCGACTCTGAACAATGGACAGCTAAGCTAACTCAAAAAATATTCATTAATTTTTCCATTTGAATTTTTTGCAATATTGTTTTAATCGTAACATTTTGCATTATTAAACGATTAAAAATTGAGCCTTTTCTTTAAAACACTTGCACCCGATGTGATTCTCCAGATATAGTAATGTGGGTTTAATAATTTGTTTTACATTCAAATTTGAGCCACTTACAGTTTGAGAGTCGTCTCGGCGACCCTTGAAGTGAATATATCTCCCGAGAATGTCTGCGGGTGTTCCATTTTTTAATATTTTTCAAAAGCGATTTTGTTTTTTAAATGCTTGACCTGTTGGATTACTATTTTTCCACTACCTTATCTTTCACCCAAAGGAATTTCTAATAAGGATACGAATAGATTAATATTCGTAACAGAAAATTAAAAAAACAGTTTTTGACAAAAAAAACATTAACTATATAATCTTCTAAACTAGAGCGATAATTTCAAGTTATCCCCATCCGTACGTACTTCGTTTCGATGCATGCCTTTTTGAATGCAATGTCAA